GTTATATGGGCCTTAGTTGCCTGAAATAAATGAATAAATAAATAAAAAAAAATAAAAAATAATATATAACATCATTGTACTTTACTATTTATAATGGTCGTGAATTGTGCTGTGTTCGGCTGTTTATCATCATCTAAACAGGATAAAGAGAGGAGGTTCTTTCGTTTTCTGAAAGAAGAAACGAAGTAAGTAAAAAAATGTCTGAGACTCATTCAGATATTGTTTTCTTCGTTTATTTAGTGCAGAGTAATATATAATACAGATTTATTATATCAATATAACGAGACGCCATAACTTCGTGAGCTAATAGACAAGGATTCTCGAATTTTCAATTTCTATTGGCGATAAATATTACGTAGCGAATGTACCTAATTGTTAACTAGGTAATGATAAACTTGAACATGTAATTTCAAGTATGTTGGTTACCTTATTTAAAAGTACCTGACCATAATGTAGCATTTTAAGTGATTTTAATATATTTTTTAAATAAATGTTCAATATTATTCTTGTTAGTGAATTAATGAAAATATAATATTACTTTATGAATATGTGTAATTATTAGGATTGTATAATAGAATTATAGATAACAGATTGGCGTTAGAATTTTCGCTATGTTGCCGCTCTGACCACGTGATGTATAGTACGTAGAAGTGATGGATAACCCTGCCATTCCACGCACACATGCGCGTGTGCAGATGGCGCCTTGCTGTATGTAGTAGTAGTAAGTAAATAACTTCCGACCGTTGTTGTATGGAGTGTCCGAGGCGTGCTTATACTACAGGTACAACCCAGTAGGTATAGAAAGCCGACTCTTGTATTTAACTGTTTTCTAATTATTATTATTAATACAAAGATCGAACACTAAGGAAAAATCCTTGGATCTATCTGGATTCGAACCAGTGCCTACAGTATACCGTGTCGGACGTTCTCCCAATGGAGCTACGGAACGAACCAGCAGACCTTTTCTACGTCTATTTCTTTGTTAAAAATTTGCAATTTGTATGTGTTGTACAATAAAGTGTTTACATACATATACACTTTACGATTTTTTACGACTTATTTCTCGTTGCGCCATCTGTGAGAAAACTATGAAAGTTTTCTATTATTTTGACTATTTTTGTACAAAAAACAGTCCATTGATTACCGTTGCCCAGGCGCCAGTGACAGGTCATGACGTAATACTACGTAAGACGATGTAGTCTGTAATTTTGTTACAATATCCTCAGAAATACTTTTTCTAAAAGCTTTATCACTTTTTTTATCAGGCATCACGTATACCATCATCAAGGCGTAGACGGCGCGACGTATCGCGTTCTCGACACCATCTACCCCGATCAAGCGGAGTATCATCTACATAATAGCTCCTTGTCCGAATATGGTAAGTTTCCCTAGACTTTGCTTTTCATGGCGACCGTGAGTAGGCATTATTTAGGCGTCCATGCTACATCGTCGACCTCAGCGACACTTTTCATTAGGTGAGATGGAGGGCAAATGTACACTTATTTTGTTACGAAAAAAATCTGAATCAAAATTATTATAGATGGTAAATGTAATTATATGTATAGTAGCAGTAGAGCGCCTTGTGAAAGAGTTCATCCAGGGTAGTACTGCCACCTTGCCTATTTCTACCGCCAAGCAGTAATGTGGTCATTACTGCATTCCGGTTTTGAAGGGTAAGGGTGCTTAAAATTACAGGCATATGGGACTTGTCAACTTATGTCTCAGGGTGATAGGTGCACTGGTAGTACCCGTCAGATCTTTGCGATTTAAAAATGTGGCGCTGCAACTGTTGTGGACAGGCGTGTCGCTTTCCACCACGCGTACGACTTGTTCGTCCAGTCACTTGGTAGCATAAAAAAAATTAGATATCGATGCCTTACTTTCTCAAACGCGTACCTTATAAAGAGTCATTACTCAGGAGATGGCAAAACTTTCGATTTATTTTAAATTTCTTATCAAGGATGTTAATTTGGATGCATTACTTTAAGAATGGGTTAAAGCCAGTGCGTAAATAAGAAGGAAATGTGATGTCAAATCAGCCTGCAAAATTTGTATATACAACATTGACTTACAATTATATGGACGTCGGGTCCGCGCTAAAAAGTGTCCGCACTTGTAAGGCGCTAAAATCGTATACAGAGCGCGACACTCCGCTTTAGTCTTCATTTGTTCTACTGACAGCGCGATACTGCAATGACATTACAATTTAAATTTCGAATAGGTTGACTTGGGACATTTTTTTTCGTGGTTTTTGTATTAGACCCGTCGTCCATTTATTTGTAAGTCAATGATATACAATCCATTTTTTGCATTTCAGTAATGTTGTGTTTTAAAATACGAGTTTGAGAATGTAAGGCGACAATATGGACATTTGTATTCGGTTGCATTCGGAAATCCGATGAATGCCGAGAGACATTAAAAAAATTATTTACTGTAAGTTACTTCTCATTATTCAAACGAATATAAAGACCATACTCTTGTTTGAAGGTATCCTGGGCTTCGAAACCGGATATTCCTACTCAAGTCCACACTGCCTGGCGATCTGGGAAGCACAATACGGCGATTTCGCAGACACTGGACAGGCAATGTTCGACACATTCATCTGCAATGGCGAGAGCAAATGGATTTGTCAATCGGGCGTCATAATGCAACTACCACATGGCATTGATGGAGCTGTTAGTTTCTTGTAATTTTTTTTGCAATGGGTCCATTTTTTGTCCCTCTTTCGTCCCCCCGATATTGATTAGTCGGAGTCCTTGAACATTGTTTGTTTGTTATAATTATTAATACAAAGATAAGATCGAACTCTCAGAAAAAATTCTTCGATCCGGACGTATTCAAACCGACGTCTTCTAGTATACCGTGCCAGACGCTACCAACTAAGACACGGAACGAACCAGCGAACTTCACGAATTTTTCTATGTGCTTGTTTGGTTTTTCAACGACTTTTTAGCCGTAGCGCCATCTATGAGAAATCTATGAAAGTATTTCATCACCCAGTGCAATACCTTTACAGTTACCTACCTTTACCAGCAGTAATTTCACATAAAAAATAATTGAATATCAATTTAATAAAATTTAAATATTGTTTTCTTTAAAATCTTCTTTATTTATTCTAATTTTTTTCCACCTTTCCACATTATATTATTGAGTATTTGCGTATTTAAAAAAAATTAATATAATGTTCTTATTCTTAATTAAGTTAAAATCCTACAATGTCAATTGTAAAATTGTAAAATAATATAATTTTCGCTCGTGGTAGAGCACTTTGAGAAAAGTACATCAATATAGCCCTAAGTAGCAGGAATAATGCATCATTTAATCCCTAGGGAGTAAAAAGTACCTACCTAATTTTTTAATAAACTTCGAGTGACCTAGGTCACAAACACAAACAGCCAGTTCTTGCTCTAGTTTGTGCCAAAAGGTAAAAGTTCAATAAGTGAAACAAAATGCGGGAGGAGTGACAGTTTACGTAACAGTTACGTCGCGCTGTACACGGGATAATTCCAACAAGATTTTTCTGACGATATTCAATAGCAAGTTGATTGAAAAAATGCCTACCAAATTAGTCAATTGTTAATAAAAAATAAACTATTTCTTAGCCAGGGCTGGTAGCTGTAAAGTTACCCAACTGAGTGACGAAATGCTTTCACAGGTTTCTCATAGATGGCGCTACGATTAAAAAGTCGTTGAAAACCAAATTCAAAGATCCAACAACAAGCCCATACAAAAATTCGTGACGTCAGCTGTTATTATTGAATATCAATTCAAAACGAATTTAAAAACTATTCCGTTGACAGTTGAAATTAATAGATAATCCACTTTGGCACTTGTTTCAATCAACTTGTTATTGGATATCGTCAGAAAAATCTTGTTGAAATTATCCCGTGTGCAGCGCGACATACTAGCAGTAAAGCTCCTTGTGAAAGAGTTCGTCCAAGGTAGTACTGCCTTACCTATTTCTGCCGCCAAGCAGTAATGTCAGCTAAAGGGTCGGGGTGTTGGTGAAATTACAGGCACATGGGACTTGTCAACTTATGTCTCAGGGTGACGACGGGCGCAGCGGTAGTGCCCCTCAGATCTTTGCAATTTAAAGCTCTGAGTGGCGCTGGAACTGTTATGGCCAGTCCATAGTATAGCGTACCATCAGGCGCACAACTTGTTCGTCCCGTTACTTGATATTATATTATAAAAAAAGCCTATTACATAAACTGTTACTTCTCCCTCACATCGCAGCTACCTCAGGAACCGACTCAATTAAGCGGTAGGTCTGTACTTCAGTTTTTTTTATACAACCTCTAATAAAAACCTCTATACGGGCAGCTGCTGTAAGTAGAGCCCAGAAACAGTCGTCGACTAAAATCGTAAATCTCGTAACCATCAGTCATGTGAACTTTTGAATAGGCACAGAAAAAATACTAGAAATAGTTATATGATAATCTATGAATATACCTTTATTTTGTAACTAAAATAGGTCTACAAATTATACTATACTTATGCTTAAGTAATTGCCCGATATTGCACTTGAAGAGTAAAGAAATTTCGTCTAAAAACGGCATTAACAGATTTTCGAATTTAGCCAACGCTTTGTAAAGGGAGTGATGTAATCATTGAGTATATAACCAGAATCAGAGACGAAATAATGGCCATCCGTCTCTGGCAACTCATCAGGCAAATGGGCCTTATATCACTTTTAAATATCAACTCTCGTTTGCGGTGAAATCACAAATTAGAAAGCTGAAATAGTACAGCGCCAACAACTGACCTGTGCGTAAGTCTCCGTATATTCCAAAAATATTCTGTATTTATTGTAATAAAGATAATATCTCTAACTATGGGGGGGCTGTTCCATTCGGTGGTGGGGGAAAAACAGCAAAACATCTAATTACAAAACAAACGGAATCACATTTCGTCTGTAATTAAATATGTAACTTTTAAATTTTTGTCCATTATAGCAAAGCTCAAGTTAAACTGGTCGATTTGAAGTGAAACAATTGACGGCACCCGTCAATCGTTTCGAATTTGGGCTGGCCAATCGGAGCGCAGTTGTCACCGTAGTGATTTGGCATAACAGTTTTCAAACAAATTAAATGACATTTCGTCTCTAATTCCGGTTATGTACTTGATGGATGTTGGTAATATACGTTATGTTATATTCTTTTGTCTAACGCTGTATGATGACGCCATACAGGGTCCTGAGCACTCATCGGCACGCCCTGAGCGCTATTTGATGCAGTGCGATGACGATGAAGACGCGTTACCCTCACTCGATGACAAAGATTTAGAATGTAAGTACAGTCAAGAATACATCAAACCTTTAGACTTGAGGCCGTTATAATCGCAAGGGACAGAGGCTTGATTTTAAATCTTAATTGTCAACTTTAACGTGCTCTTGGTCTTGTAGATCAGAGATTCCCAAATATTTTTGTCTCGTATACCACACCATGCCAATTTTTTTAACAAATTCATCATCTTCAAACCACAGTGCTAGTCAATTTGATACTTTTAACTCCATACTAAGAAACCTTATAATTTATCTACCTCAATTTCTTATTTGTTGTGATATGTTTACTTTATAGGTAATTTATATACCTTTTATAAGAAAGGGTTCTGGCTGTCATGTTGGCTTTCATATTATATACTCCGACCTAAATGGGTTTCTAACGTCTCATGCACCTCCTATTTTTTCCGCTGACATGGACGCTTTGCAGATTGGTCAATATGGACCACTTTGGGAATCAACGCTGCAGATATTTAATCTAAACTAGCAACCTAGATGATAGGTTTCGCCAGTGGCGGATTTACAGTTTTGGCCGCCCTAGGCCCCAGGCCATGTAGTCAGTACGAACCGCTCCTTTCTCAGCACTCATCATATACTGGTAGACTACATAATTAATTTCACTGTCACTCTGCCTATTGGTGGAAACCGCATGAAAATCGGTTCAGTAGTTTTTGAGTTATCGCGATCAAACAGACAGTCAGACGCGGTAGTAATAATATGTAGTGATGTAGTGACATTACATTATAGATATGTAACATATCTATATTTGTTCGGTATTCTGGCTGTGCTATTCAATCTATAATGATATCGAATGCCCCGCGTACTGACTGAAACGAAACTGGCTGCGCGGTGTCAACACCGACGTGTTGACGTTGGCAGTCAGTGTCGCTGTAAAAACCTATGAAACTTGCATGAAAATGTTTTAATTATTCCTTTAAATCTTTATCACTATTTCTGCGCCTGATTATTACAATACAAACGAACAAGACTGTGCCATATGCCCCGCTGAAGACTCACACTGCACCGCTGCCGTCGAAGGGAGGAACGCGAGAGTATTTCTATATCATCGCCCTAAATACAGTCCATCTTATAGCCGCGTGTCTCGGCTTTCCTACGCCACAATATTTTCTACATAAAAATTTAGGAAATTGATCTAAGATTATTGTTATACGATGCGGTGCAGTACGGTCCGCCGTAATGTGCGCGAGCCTTTGGAATATTTAGGTACTTTGAGTTATTTCTTGTCATCATCAGTGATTTTTTGTCACGATTGGCCGCCCTAGGCCCGGGCCTACTGGGCATTAGGGCAAATCCGCCACTCGGTTTCGCTGAAGTGAGCTCCGGTGCTATGTATCCGATAATCATCTGTACCACGTATCCAGTTAGTAGTAGTGTTTTAAGTAAAGGACGACAGACTTTGTCTATCGTCTGTTGGGGTGCACGAAAGGAGCCCTTCCCCGTAATTAAATAAATAAATAAATGCTAAAGGACTTGTGTTGTGGAAATCGGAAACAACTATGGTACCACAAACACCCAGACCCAAGGCAATACAGAAAAGTTAGTTTTCTACTCTGATCCGGCCGGGGATCGAACCCGGGACGTCAGAAATGGCGACACCATGGAAACCGGTGTGTAAGCTACTCGTCCACGTAAGCCGTCAAAATAATAGGGGTTAAAGTATGAAATTGCCGATTTGTACTGAAAATCTAAATTGTTTATTTTAATCAAAATAGTTGCCATTATTATCTATACATTGCTGCCATCTAATGGGAAGGTTATTAATGCCTTTGCGATAGAACTCCGACGATCTAGACTGCACAAACTGTGTGAAAGCATTTTGTACTGCCTCCTGGGAAGAAAACTTCTTGTCACGTACATAATTGTCCAAATCACGAAAAAAATGGTAGTCCGTTGGAGCAAGGTCTGGTGAATACGGAGGATGACGAATGGTTTCTAACTGCAGTTCCTGAAGGGTCAAAATGGTTTCTCGTGCTGTGTGAGGTCTCGCGTTGTCGTGGAGCAATAATGGTGAAGATCGATTCATGAGTCGGGGCTGTTTTACTGCTAGTTTTGTCAACATGGTTCGGAGTTCGGCACAATAGACATCTGCCGTTATTGCTTGACCAGATCGGAGAAAACTATAGTGAATAACACCATGCTGAGACCACCAAACAGTTACCATTACCTTTTTATTGGTAAGTTTTGCTTTAGGACACTGTTGTGGCATTTGACCTGGGGTCAGCCATTGCATTTTTCTTTTCCAGTTATCATAAAGAATCCACTTTTCATCACATGTTACAATTCGATCCAATATTCCTTCATTTCTGTACCGGTTCAACAAGGCAACACAAGTTTCAACACGCGTTTCTTTCTGCAGATCAGTCAAATCATGAGGCACCCATTTTTCGTATTTTTTTATTTTATTGATTTGACGCAAGTGAGTCAATATTGTGGGTAAGGTAACGTTAAACCATGCCGCTAATTCCTGGGTAGTTTGACTAGGATCGGCTTCCACTATCTCTCTTAATTCATCGTTATTCACCTGTGTGGGCGGTCTTCCTCGTGGCTCGTTCTTTAAGTCGAAATTTCCATCACGAAAGCGTTTAAACTCGTATTCAAAAATCACTCGGATTTTCGCAGTATCCATCTTTCTTGTCTAAATTGAATAACAAAAACAATTGAAAGTCGATATTCAAATGTTTCAAATTTAAAAAAAAAATCATAGAAACCATTTGAAAAAAGTTTCATTCGAAAACCTCAAACCATGAAGATTCTATGAAAATTCAAAGAACCTATTGCAATAAAACGGCAATTTCATACTTTAACCCCTAATATGTACAATTGATAATATTCACTGTACATCTGGTGCACTCTGGGGAATAATCAGCGAGAACCTTATGCCCATTTTCAAATCCCTTCTTAACGATGGCAAACATGTCCCATAGCTCAGATAAAGACAAAATATGGACATGACTTATAATTTTTACGAAAATGTATTATTTAGATGCATCGCAATAAAGAACACTTCATTCTGTATCGAATCATGGGTGCAAATTTATGCCATTGGGAACTTTATAAGTGCTCCTACGAAAAGCCAAGTATTTCTGCGGCGGTCTCGAATTACATACGTCAGACGGATAGCAGTTCACATGTTATAATGATCCACTAGTTTTTTTACGCGAATTAGAATGAGTTTTTCTCAGCACTAAAATATTGATGTCTATTGCGTTATTCTCGTTGAAAAGATGCTGCCAAATTGTTCACAACGAATGACAAAACAAAATCAGCTAAAAAACAGTCGGCTATTATACATTGCAAGTCTGAATGCCAACTTGGTCACATTGATTCCTGTAATGCAAGGAGATCAACGAGATAACGACAAATCTATAGTGCCTTTTTGAACTTTGGTTGACTTATTTTATGAACGGTTAACGGCTTCTCCACAAGGTGTTAGCGGTTTAAGTATGTGTAGGTATGTACATACATATCATCACGCCTGTCTGTATGCATGGTCTCTACCATGGACCTCCACCTGCTTCGCTCCTGACAAACCTTCGCCTCCTTTACTTCCATCAGTCTTGCTACTTTTAAATTTCAACCTGACCTTCTTTAAGGACATCCCCATTCTGATTCAGATATATGTATGATATAACGCGGTCTACCACTTCCCGTGTCTCGCTCCACATTCGCTCTGTAAATTTATGCCGTCAATCTACCGACATCCATTCTTTCTACATGATCAAAGCATCGAAGCATACCCCCTCTCTATCCTGATCACTACATCATTTTGTGTACGTAAGTGTTTTCTATTGTAAATTCGACCTAATAAAACTGTTAAAAATCCAGTGAAGCAGTTACGCGCGTGCAATTGGATCGTATGCAACGTGACAACCCCTGCGAACTACTTCCACTTGATCAGACGCCAGATTGCGATGCCGTTCCGTAAACCACTCGTGCTGTTCACGCCGAAGGTCGGCCTTAAGCATCCGTACTACCGGTCACCCTTCAAAGACTTCTTACTCGGCACTCGCTTCCAGAGGTGGGTATTGTAGTAACTAACCATACAGGGATGGGTAGTGATTGTGGAACTGCGGAGTGATAACTATCTATCTCAGAAAATGCCAATTAACAAAGACGATGCGAGATAATGAATTGTTATACCGTAAAGTAAGGTTTATTTCTTGACAAATTTAAGCGCTTGGTCACTGCATGCAATACGTATTCGTTCCGAATCCGAGAAAATACGTATATCGCTTGTATACCTAGAGATAAAATGAGCCCTGTGACTTTTCGGGCCGTAGGTACTTTCTCGAATTCTCGTTCTCCGTCCGCAATCCGTGCGAAACAATTATTGTCAAATAAGTAATACTCGCCAGATTAAAATACAATATCAGGTATGAAACTTCATTCACATCATGCGTGTTTTAATTTGCTCGTGTATTTTTTTTTTTTATTGGATAAGGTACAGCAACAGATTACAGATCCTAATTTACAACAGACAAAAACTATTCTACATGAATGGTTATAAACCTGCAACCTTATAGCTTTTATAGCCAAATTATAGCTATACACAACACTTTAGTATATATAATAAACAGTGGCACCTAGGAATTAACTATATATATATATATAATATATATATATATATATCTATATAATATATATATATATATATATATATATAACAAATAAACAGCACCATTAAGAGATATTACAAAAAAGAATGAAAAAGTTACGTAACAAAATTAAGGTGGTAGATATTACTTATTTGACAGTAATTATTCGCAGTAATAATAAAATTATGCTCAACGTTCTAAGGCAGGCATTTACACAGCGGGGATCTGTGGCGAGTCTACCTAACATAATGGAACAGCAAGGCGAAACTTGGTTTGTCACTTTCTAGTTAAGTTTTCATCATTCTCTATATTGTACTGCATCAACAGACGGTTTAGTGATATTGTAATATTACCATTTAACGTCACGGCATAATATGATCGTCAATGTGGAATTCATTGGCCTGGTTCGACTCACCCTGTTAACTAAATGATCGAAAAGGGATAATTAAAATTTCTGTTTCAGAGCGATTCCTGAATCCGGACCAGCGTCTAAAAATCCTGAAGGTGTGAAAAAGCTAATATTTTGTTCCGGAAAAGTGGCCATCACAATTGACGAACTTCGCAAAGAGAAGAAATTAGAAGACAAGATTGCCATGTGTCGAATAGAACAGATGTATCCGTTCCCATACGATATATGCCTGAAAGAAGCAGCGAAGTATTCTAAAGCGAAGGTGGCCTATTGTCAAGAGGAGCATAAGAATTGCGGACCCTTGTTCTTCGCCAGGCCTAGACTCCGGAATCTTTTGGGGACAGAAATCGAGTAAGTTTCGTTCGATCCCTAGAGAAGAGCAGAGAAATCTATGATCTTTGTTAAAAAGCAATCCAGGTTCAAGAAATTCTTAACTTCAACGGGACTGACAACCGGACTAAAATACTTAGCTTACATTGATTACGTCCGATGACATCCGTCCGAAACAATTACTATGAAATAAGTAGTACTCGATTAATAAACGCGTGATGCGATTGAGCATTACTTATTTGAGAGTAATTGTTGTAGACCCCAAGCCGCGTATATATATATTTTTTCAAATAAACTAACGTTATAGGCCTTTTGCAGGTTCCACGGTCACAGCTGACATGGTCAGTCAAATAGAAACGTTGGTTTGTTTGTAAGAACAAATATATACGCGGTTTAGATTTAAAAAAATTGGTACATTTCCTATGTGTAACAATCGCAAAAACCTAAGAACTCTATAAATACTTTCACAGTTAATACATTATTTTAGATGTATCACGAGACCACCTAGTCCAGCCTCTGCCACTGGAATCAAGTGGATTTTTCAGAAGGAACTCAAGGAACTCAAAGAAAACATTATCGCTGGTGTAGATGGCGCTGGACCACCTCCGTCTAGCCCAAAAAAGCCATGCTAGTTTCTGTCTTGGTTTGTTCGTTCGTCATTAGTCTTTATCGTCCTAATTCGTATCGTCTGACCTAATCCGCCTAATAAATTGTTTTATTGAATTAAATAACCGTTATTATTTGATAGCAGCCAAAGGTTTTTATCAGTAGAAGTTACAGTAGGTTCTAATTTTTGAAGTCCAATCTAAAAAGATATTACTTTTACGAGTTTTACAGAAGACGACGATGGCATTGCTAAGTTATTGTATTTTTTTTTGTGTTGCCAAGTGATTAAGGTAAGCGACACGCCGCGCCTGACCATGACAGTTGCAAGGTCAAAGGACACTGCCATTGCGCCCATCACCCTGAGACCTAAGTAGACAAATCCCATGTGCTTGTAATTCCATCAGCACTTCAAAACCGCAACGCAGTAATGCTCACATTATTGCTTGACGGCAAAAATAGATACGGTGGCAATACTTACTAATACGAACTCTTTCACAAGGAGCTCTTCTGCTACTAATTACTTTTAGGAGCTACTCGATTTTACAGAGTTGACGATGGCATTGCTAACCTATTTCATTTATAATTTATAGATATAATTTTCTCGCTATTGAATTCTCAAATTTAAACTTTTTTTAAATATAAAAAAAAAATATTTTTTTTAAAGAACTTTTATTATTTATTTTTTCTATTTTATTAGAAAGTTCTTTAAATATTCGCTTGTAAAACAGAAAAGCTTCCGAAACTTGAGTTTAAACAATAATGCAGTTGATGAATTGATGTTTCAAAAAGTGCTGCTTACTATTTGAAATTGCTGTATATTATTAATTACGAAAAGCTTAGAAATTGAGAAGCAAGATGAGAAAATCATTTATTTTAAACAACTTGAGTTCTTCTTCTTCCTGTCCTTATCCCACGCTAGGTGGAGTCGGCACAACATGTATTTTTCTTCCACTCTCCCCTATCAGCCGTAATTTTTATACTCACACCTTTCTTATCCATGTCATCTTTCACACAATCCATCCATCTTTTCTTTGGCCTTCCTTTCCCCTTATATCCCTCCACATTCATACCTAGCACTCTTCTTGTCACATGACATATGACATTCTTCCCTCCGCATGACATGTCCATACCACGCTAACCTTTACTCCTCATCTTTTCCGTCACTGGCGCCACTTTTAAACTTCCCCTGATGTACTGAATTTTAATCAATTTGAGATAATATTGCTAAATAGCACCCACGAAAATAAACATCGATTGTTACAAAGGATCTTTCTTAGCAAGAATTTTAAGTTTTTTTTGCTGAGGAGCCGCTGGCGCTTGAATTACCTATGTACGGTCTTTATACGGTTAATCCAAAACCGGTACATGGAGGTTAGTGTTGGGCTTTTAATTACCCGAAAAATTTAAAACGGTAATTTATTAAAATAGTTTCCAGAAAAATGCAAAAATAATATAATAAAATAAAAGTACACACACGCACACACTCAACATAGCCCCGCACTAGGGAAACCCTAAAAAAGTAGAAAAAATATAAATTGATGTTTTTCCATGACCCAATATTATTTCATCCCTAAAATACAAATCGGTGTTAAAACACGCACATAAACTACTGAATTAAAATTAAAGCTATTTCTATGTTTATTAATAGAGATAATATTATTGTATTATCTCCTTATCTCTAAAATTCTGTACGAAGTGCTTGAATCCAAAGTCACGATATGAAATAAGAAAAAGTACTGTCAAATGATTTTTAAACGAATTTAAATGTCATGAAACATAAACAAACGTTAAAAAATAAAATTTCGAGGTTAAATTTGTTTTAATTTATTTGATATTAGTAATGGCTTATGCGCAATATTTCTTTGCTAATTTTAATAACAGCGAGGCTGTCATAGGTACATGTAACTCTATGTGTCCTGAGGAAGAAACAAAGTTGTAAGTAATAATTCTCGAAACTCTCTGACCTGCGTTTTTATTCAATATCGTTGATTTCTTATATTCCGTAGAAGAGAAAAAGAGCGGCTTATTCATGTGTTAGAAACGGAGAATGGAGTTAAGAAATTGGTGAAAGCGTATTGCCGATCGGCCGCAGATAGAACGATGGCAGTTCCACGATTACTACGGCCTTACTCGGTCTTAAAAGACACTGTGGATTACCTATTGCTAGAGTAAGTAGCCAGAAGAGGTAAATACAGTCGTAACTTAGAAAAATCTTACTATTAAAGGACAATGGCAAACTCCCATACAAATTTTTGTTGACATAATTTGTATGCATCTGTTTATGAAAAATCAGACACTTGCATGCTATTTAATATATGCGAAACATGGAAACACTAACACTGTCTCTTGTTACATCTCCTTTTATACCATGTTTTAAGCAAATAAACATATGATAATGATATTATTATTAATAATATTACTACATTCTTTTATTTCCAAAATTAAATGGAAGTATGAAAGATTGACTTAAATCAGTCACTGATATTAATTCTATACCAATGCATAAATACAAAATAGCTTACACTATTTGGAATCTGTTAAAAAATTTCTCTATGAAAAATGAATCTTGAGGTTGAAAATGTATAGCATTTATATTTCAAAGTTTTCTCTTTTTTATATACTCTCAAATTACATTTTTCTGTGCAAATTCACATTGTGTAATATTTGAATATTTGTAAACGCAAAACAATAAATTCCAAATTTCATTTGATACTCCCATATAACCTAAAATATTCCCGAAATGGAATATTGATCTAGTTTAATTAAATGTTGGCATGTTGATAATGACTTATCGATAGATTACGGTACGACACTAAAGAAATCCACCATTAGTTTGTTTAATTTTTGTTTAGGTATGCACATTCATTCCGTAGTTAGGGCAGCTCCTTTCTTTTACTTGCTGAACTTGTTTTGTCAGTTTTACCATTTTTTCACATGGTATTTTGGAGAAGAAATTATCGACTGTACTCTTTGTAATGAAGTATATAATCTTTTATTAGCTCATTACAAATCGGCCGAATCAGTACATTTGATAATACTCAAAATCCCTTTTTTAGCAGCTAAATGTCGCTCATTGTTAAGAAACTGATAGTTGTAGATATCAGTCTGGTTCAATACTAATTAGTCATTAGTTTTTTATAAATATGATTTTATTTCCAGACATAAATAGGCCGCTATTATAATTTGAAAAACCTAATGAATTTATTTTATTCAAACTTGTAATTAAGAGATTTCAAGATGCTTACTAATTCATATAATGATTTTGCCATTGTTCTTTTTATTGAATGTCAGAATGTTTGACCACCATTATATTCAATTATTTTTATGAGATTACTACATTTAGAAAACATTCCTTCGATCTTGCTGGATTCGACCCAAAGTCTTCCAGCAAACTGTGCCAGATGTTATGCCAACTAAGCCACGGAACGAAGGATGTTTACTAAGTGTTCGATCTTTGTATTAATAATTATAACAAACCACATAAACAAATTAATAAACAATATTATATTTATTATTTCCGATTGTGTGAATTACCAATTAAAGATTTTGATCCGGTTCTCAATAAGAAACATTTACTTGAATGTATTAAAAGTGTACCTCTCCAGTAGTGACACAATATCAGAAAAGGATGATGTAGCTGATCTTGATAATCCGTTTGTTTAAGACCTTAACTAAATGTAGACAATCTTGGTTCATCTTTTTATTGAAACATATTTATGCTTTACAAGTCATAGGTATAAAATTAGGCATGCAATTTCATATGAAGCTGAGTATTTGTATATGAAATGAAATGATATAAGGTTTATTTGCATTGAATAGGTTATTACAGGTAGTTATTACATTTGAGATCATCTATTCAGCCATTATACAAAAACATGCAAAGTTAAATTTTATCTTCTAAGTAGTCATTTACACTATAATATCCTTTTTTTGACTAGGTATTTATACAGTACAGTTGTAATTCTTTTAAATGTCAGATTTTTTATTTCAATTGAAGATAGGTAAAAATCATTTTATTTATTTATTTGTTATTTATATATATTATTTCTAAATGAATACTTAATTAAATAGTCATCTCAAGATTGTTTACGTTTAGTTAAGTGCCTAAACACATGGACTATAGTTTTGTTGTAATTATTGATACACCGATCGAAAAGACTCCTTCCATCCGGCAATATTCGAACTGACGTCTCCTAGCAAAACATGCCAGATTTCTCACAGATGGGGCTACGTCTAAAAGTAGTTGTAAACCAAATACAACGATCCGGCAAGCACATAAAAAATTCGTGAGGATCCACTGGTTCGTTCCGTGGGTTAGTTGGTATAGCGTCTGGCACTGTTTGCTAGGAGATAGTTCGAATCTGGCTGGGGCGAAGGAATTTTTATCCAAGTGTTCGATCTTTGTATTAATAATTATACCAAATCTTACTATTATTGTATCTTTTTGTGCCTTGATTTATAAAAATGATAACAAATACTGAATAAGCGATCCTGAAAACAATATGCACATGGTGTAAGCATGATTCTCCGGTTCTTACAACTGAGCACCTGGACCCAGCCAACTGTGTCACTGATGGAGAATACTGCCTATCCTATTTATAAATTCAATATTTCTCTTTTAAGCCGTGGTCGACGTTCCGTAATAAGTAACCAAAATAATAAGTATCCTTGTCCTATGTTATATTAAGGTAGCTCTGTTCATTACCTCTTAGGGGGGCCATACATGGGCAGCTCGAAGCAGCTAGTCTCGACTACTTCAAGCTGCGACAACATAGCAAACTACAGTTTTCTATGCACACACATACACCAAACTGCTGGAGCAGTTTGACTGCTTGGGGCAGTGTGCAGTGCGGTGAAATTTCATAGTGCAGTCAAGCGATCGCCAGATTTACACTGACTGCTAGTCCGTGTATGGTGATCATTGGCTAACTGCTTGAGCAGTCCGTGTATGGCTGCCCTTAGGTAGTGGTGCCTGCATCAAATGTACTAAGTTTAATTACTAAAATAAATACTATCAATCAAACTTGATGAACACTTGACCATGCATCTATGCATCTAAAGCTTATACCATTCCCAACAAAGTGATATAGAATACTGTGGTCTTTCCACTTTCAAGGGGAATATGCTAACCTGTGGTTAAAGTTACTTTTGAATTAAAGAAATGGAATATTTTTTATTACACTACATATCCATAGTGCTGCAGCTGATAACACATTCCTTAGCATAGTGATATTATATATTATTATGTGTGATGCATTGAATGAGAGTGCTAAATCAACATTCGTAGCATGCCTAGGCAGGCAAAATAGATAGATTAAGGAAGAGATTTCTAAGACCTATTACACTAGTCCCTACCAGCTGTCTCCCTTAGTCGGGACCGGGGATACCGTCACTGTTTTTATGAATAAGTACGGTCCCATCAGGGGGGCAGCTGGTAGGGACTAGAGAAATAGGTCATTTCTAAAACGCACTTTGGCTTTGACTAAACACTAAGTTTTTTGTATTTACTGAAGAATGTTGCCAAAGCAAGAAATTAAATTAAATTTTGAGTTCACTTTGTAATCTCTAGTTTCTAGCCTAAGTGCTTGATGCCTCTATGCTTTATGCCATGCATAATCCGTCACTTGGCTGTGCTAATGTGAAAAGATCCCAACTTACAACATGATGAAATTGATTTTTATATTACAGAGTAGCAAAGCGTACAGATGTACCGACTAGCATTGTATATGACTTCATAGATGACCGACTGCGGGCAGTGAGACAGGACATCACAATACAGAGGCTGCCATCGGAGCAATGCTGCAACCTCCTAGAGCCCATGATTCGGTTCTATGTCTACTATGGATACATGTAATAGATATGTATAAATTACTAATACTGTATACATCAATACATTCCTTTTTGCAACATAAAGTAATAACCACGTAAATGTAATTTTTAAAGATTTTTATTGAATACAACAATATTTGACCAATTATTTTTGTGAAATTACTCCACTAGTTGTTAGAATTATGAATATAAAGATCAAACTCTTAGAATTTCTTTGATCTTGCTCGATTCAACCCAGTCTTCCAGCAAACTGTGCCAGACATTATGGCAACTAAGTCACGGAACGAAGGATTTTTACTAAGTGTTCAATCTTTGTATTAATAATTATAACAAACCACACAAGCAAACTAATAAACTATATTATACTTATTATTTCAGATTGTGTAAATTACCCATTAAAGATTTTGATCCGGTTCTCAATAAGAAACATTTA